TTGACTTTATTTCCTAAACTCAAACTAATTGCTGTCAATATTTTAAGCTTCACTTCCAGTCTCTCTTAACTTAAATAATTTCAAATAATGTAATTATTAAAGTATAGAATTTTAATAAAACTAAATAATAAGAATAGTCAGAAAAATTAAATATTATTTTTGTTATTATAAAAAATAATTTTTGCTTTTATTAATTTTTAAATAAACTAAAAAATATTAAATTAATTAAAATAAGTCTTAGCTATTAAACTTTTTAATATGTTTAATTGCTTAATATATTGATTCAAAATCAATTAAAAAAGTTATGATCACAAATTTTATTTAATATAATATAATTTGAGGCAATATTTTTGTTTGTCTTTATAATACTGTAGTTGTATTGAAGGTTCAAGACTTCACTTTTGGTTGACTTAACAGAGATTTGATAGAAAAATGAATTATATATATTAGAAATAAAATGAAAAGTCAATGAAAATCAATGTTTTTATTTATACAGTTTATTAAGGCTTAAGTCAAATTGTATTATGTGTTTGACTTTTGCTATATCTCTGAACAAACGTAAAGTCATAGTCGAGTGTGTGCTTTATTGAACCATAAAAGACATCGCATCTGATCCCATGGTCGACACTCATAACTAACACATGCACTGTTATGTTGTGAGCTTATGGATGGATGAAAAAATCAGAGGCATTGCTTCTCATATTTAATACCACTCATTGCCACAAATATATTGCGGCAAAAATCATTTTTAATGTTTGCACTGATCTCTCTCTCTCTCTCTCTCTCTCTCTCTCTCTCTCTCTCTCTCTCTCTCTCTCTCTCTCTCTCTTTGACTTATATATATTTTATTGTCACTAAAAGTTTGACTCATCCCATGCAATTGTATTGTGAGTAAAAATCATATTATTTTATGGTAATATTTATGTGTGACATCAAACATCTGGTGCTTTCCATATCTCACTGTTCATTCATTTAGCTGAGACACCCCTAACTCCTCTCCATAATCTGTTTTATTAAATTATCAAAATTATTAGTAATGTTTTTTTGTTGTATGTATTTATAAATTTTTCAAAAAGTGTTGTYAAATCTTATCTATGTTAACAAATTGTTATTTAATTTTTAAAACTGTTTCATAATGTCATTTATAATATAATATATTATATATAATTGAAACAGTGAAATCATTTTATTAATAAAATTCATTATATATATGAAATGACTTTACGATATTATTATTTATAACTGTATCGATAGTTATGTGTGTTTGAAATTAGATATTGAGTTGAGTCCAGGGATTTAGGGCAGAGATTTAAGAAACATATCGGTTGTAAACGTTATATATTTGGGAAGTATATCAATATGTTAGTTATGTGTCGGTTCATTGATATTACAAACTTATAAGTCAGTACTGAATGAGATATATTGGCGAAAAGTGAGTAAACGGTGCGCTTGTATTTGTTGGTTGTATTTATTATGATAAATGTATTGTATATGTGATATAATATATCAAATTATTATAACCAGTAAATAGTTGTTATATTGTGGGAAAATTCATTGACACTTGTATTGTATAGTAAATACTATATAAGTAATGAGGAACTCTTTAACTTATAAAGCAATATACAGTATTTTATTTATTAAATTATTGTAAATAAAGTTATGTATTAAATAGTATAACTTATTATATTATATAACTGTGTTTATGACCAGTGAATTAAATTTATCATATACTGTATACATTTTTGTAAACGTATCATCATATAAATGTTAAGACAAAACATTGTATTATTTAGTATTAAATCAAATATTATACACATTAAATAAAATTAACTAAAATAATTAAATACATAAAATTTAATGCTATAAGTAGATAAAATTAATTAAAATTAACAGTTTTATAATATATAACCAAAAAATCATCGTTTAAAATTAATAGTAATTGTATTACAGATATTTAATTATTTGCTTTAATTTTCATGAGATTATTTTAGATAATTAATATTAATTTCATTGATATTAATATTAATACATTATGTAATCTAATAAAGTACTGCAATTTAATAAAGCAATAATTAAATAAATTTTGCAAATACTCTTCGCGCCATATAAAGGTAGCGAAACGTTATTTATGAATGTTAGCCAAAATCTTTTTACACTCTCTTATTTGTATACATTTGATTTGCTTTTGGTGTGATTTTCATCAAATTTTGTTTATTTGTTCAAAAGTTATAGTCATTTAAATAAGTGGTGTCAGAGTTTTTTAGAACAGTCTAAATGATTTGAAAGCGAACCAGATTCGGGCCATCATTTATTATCAATGGATGAAGACTAAAGAGTTGGAAGTGATTGACCAGCGCATCAACACAGTATAAGGACATATTACTTTAAGTTTTAGTACAATCACCAAATTGATCCGTKAATTCAAAAGGTGACAGTAGTCACTTGAAAACAACCCTATTGAGGAACGGCCTGTTTCGGAGAATACCCCGGAAAATGTAGCGATTGTCGAAGACATAATAAGAGCTGATCCAAGTATTACATACCACGAGTTGAAGTAGAAATCAGGCATTCGGGGCACAATACTTTGAAGAATATGTGCTGACCAATTAAAGGTACAGAAGCAATTTTGTGGTTTTGTACCCCATCTTCTAAGTGAAGAGCAAAAGTGGGATAGGTTGGAAAAATGTCAATAAGTTCTAAACCCCTGGAAGAAAGTCAGAGATAATACCACCACTAAGATAGTAAAAGTTGATGAAGTGACTATGATTATTACGGGCCAATACTGTCACGGGAAGCAAAGATATTTGTGTCTGAAGATGAAGATGACTCGAAAAATAGAGTATTTTGAGTCGCTTGCGAAAACTGCCTGGGAGGAGGCGTTTGAAAGGTGGAGGAGGCGTATGACCAAGTGCATTCAGGCACAGGAGGATTACTTTAAATAAAATTAAATTTAGTTTTTATAAATTGTTTGTAGTATTTTAATCGCTATCTTTTTATGGATCGACCAGTATTATACAATTTACACAATGTTTGTAATTTAATCGATTAGACTTAATGATAATTACAATATCTGGAAATTTATATGTATTATAATGATTATCGGAGACCTCATTAGCGGCTAATACATAGTGTACTGACTGTTGGTATCGGATTTGATTGAAAAACATTTTATGAGTGAAATAGTAGTTAACATCTGTTATTGAGGTCTGTCTTACTAAGCAATCATACTATGAGTTCTTCTAATTTATCTGTGCTTTCACTCTATCTCCCAGTGCTATGACAGGCCCTCTAACAACATGAACAACACACCAACAAAAACATAAACCGATAGGTCATAAATGTGTTTAGGGAGCTGTCGATACTCTAGTAATGGTATATAACATACCAAATCAGTCAAAGTAGTCGTTAACCTACAAAACGCTTAATTAGATTTTCAATTGTTATCAATAAAAACACTGTAAAAACATTTTTGTTGTGTTGTTTTGGCAATCAATACAATAACCAGAAATATGTCTGTTTTAGTCAATCAAAAGCTAATTGATTGGATAAACATTTTTTTTATTATTGTATACATATCTCTAAGCATACCTACCTGTCTATCATAAAAATAGCATTTAATGTTTAATGTATATAATAGTATATTTATAATTGACTTAAATTTTAATATGCGTTGACTTTCCTATTGTTTTGCTTTCATATATGAGGACAAACACTTGTAGGGCTTATTATATATTGTATTTCATAATTCATAACTCCAGAAGCAATCGATATGACATATCAGTGCGCTTTTATTATTATTATTATTGTTTATTATTGTTATTATAATTTGCGATATTATTATTTAAAATAATCCTCAACTTCAGAGCCACCGATAAGTCAAAGCATAACTAAGAAATGGCTTTTTGTGCGTAAATCATATAATAAAATAAAATTTAATACCTATTTATGATAATTATAAACTAAATAATGGGTATTAAAGTGATGATTGAATATAATAAGAGACCACAATTTATGTAGAAAAGAGGTTTATATAAAATAGATTAATATTATATTATTCTTAAAAATCCGATTTTTGCTGATTATATTAAATAATATGAATAAAATTTTATTTGATATGACTTTAAGTCGGTATTATCTCAGCTAAAGATCCATCTTTCACTTTATATGGTTTGCAAATTTCAATGCATTGCAAACTTTGCATATATGTGAAATATTTGATCGGGTATTGGTTTATGGGAAAGTCAGATAAATCATATATGAGCTCATTATATACAATGCTTACATACTTTTKAATTAAAACAGTGAAAGTGATTGAATAGGAAAAGGGTGGGTAAAGAGTTAAATGTTTAGGAATTAGTGGTGTTTTGTATGTCCAGTATTTACATTAGTTGCTGGTGTGGCACCACTTTGTGTGGCACAAACAACAGTGCTAATAGTGTGTAGACATTTGCCGTTTAGTCAATCGGTATTAGCGTTGATGACCAACACAATCACAGTGCTAAACATTTCCTTAGAAATAGTCATTGAAATTATTTAAATCATTTCAAACATATAATGACTCGAAACAAATCGATTGCAAATTTACATTATAAATGAGTTTTCAATTTAATCGATGGATAGTCCAGAGAGAGGGTCAACTCTACCACATAATCATACTGTTCATACCATTGTCACAGCAAGAGAGCAATCACACACACACATACATACACATGCATACACACATATACATATACATATACATATACATATACATATACATATACATATACATATACATATACACACACACACACACACACACACACACACACACACACACAGAGAGAGAGAGAGAGAGAGAGAGAGAGAGAGAGAGAGAGAGAGAGAGAGAGAGAGAGAGAGATTGGATCCATTTTACTACAGCGCACACACAATGAGTGAATGTATTTTCCTGCGGCGCTCTGACTCTAAGAGCACAGTTACTGTGAGTGAAAGACCAGTTTGTTATTAGAGTTCAGTTTGTGTTGAGATCTTCACCAAAGCAGACACACATAGACTGAGTTTTACTATTATTGTAAGCTTTAATGTATTGTATATACCGAGAGAATAGTTGATTCTTGCAGTATATTTGAATCTCCCATTCCTTTCGTGAATTGTTGTTTGCATTGTAGTAACTGTCGATTCAAGTGGTCATTCAGTTTGGTCTTCAAGAGCGCTCTCTTTTGACTAACAGTGCTCTTCAAGATTTATAAACTTTGAATTTGATTATCATTTTAATTATTGAATTTATTGGTGACTGTGCACTGCTGTGCTATATGTGCTCTTTTTATGTGTCGCGTTGTGAGAGGATTAACAAAAAATAAACTTTTTAAAGCAATTGTGTGCCAAAACATCAGGACATAGAAAGAAGGAAACGATTTCCAAACACTTAATATCTATTTAGTGCTAAGATTTTTAGAGTACTTTACTTATATTGAATCCGAACCACAACACGACATTCCCCATCAATACAAATGGAAATGGATTTTAAGTGTATTTAAGTGAACACACAATTGCATTGATTATTGCTATCCTCTAATTCAAAATAACAATAATATAAAGTAAGTGCCGTTCCTTTACCTATATTTATGAGTTAGTCTGTGTGAGTGAGTGAGTGAGTGAGTGACACAATCAAAACTGTCAGTGCGATTAGTGATGGTATGTCTAATTTTTAGGGGTCAGTCCTTACTATTATTTTGGTGACACTTTTAGGTCTTGCTTTAGGAGTTACCAGTTAATAGTATTATAGATATTTGTTTCCTATTTTTTTGTTAAAATACCTATTATATTGATCTATTGATGATTTATATATATATATATATACCGGTATATATGATATTTGCTTATACTGTAAACTTCTAACTAATATTTTGTATTAATATTTTTATTTTGTCGGTTACTAATACTTACAGATTGTGTGGATATGCTGTCAATATGAGTATTATTGAGATAAATATATTACTGAGTATTAAAAATATAAGTATTTGTGTTCATAAAACACATTTGTTGCTTATTTTCAGTGATTTGATACTATTTAATAATTTGTTATAATTTTGAATTAAATACTGTAGTAATATAAAGTTAAATAAGTTAAAATGAATAATAATAATATATATTTACTATATTAATATATTAATTATTTAATTTATTAATTTGCTTAATTTGTTTGATATGTATAAAGTTTGTTTTTAAGTTTTTAATTATTTCAATATGTGCTCTTAAATAAAAAATGTGAGTTGAATTTTTATTGATTATTATAGATATTTTATATAATTAAAATTATTATACGCTTATTTATTTTCACATTAAATTATTTGCCATATAATATTATATGTTTTTTTGATAAAATTAACACAAAACTGAATTATACTTTAATTGAAAAAAGTAATTTTCAAATACTGTGACTTAGCTATAATTTGATAGTATATCACTGTTTATTTGATTATATGATATATTATATAAAATTTATTTTATAAATGCTTTCAAAAAGACATGTCTGACCTTTATATATACTATGGATATGTAATACTGTATATTTCATGTACAGTATATAACTAAATATATGATAGCAATAATAGATATTACAATATTAAATTAGTCATAATAAAGTAATACGGTTACCAAAATTTAATGTTACAATTTATAAATATTTAATAATAATTATATTAGATAATAATATAATCTATAATAAATTATTATAAACATGTTTGATATTTAAGAGTAAAATTATGAAATCAATATATTATTTTGTAAAAATTGAAATTATAACTTTTCTTTATGTTTACCGCTAAGACTCTAAAATTAAAATTATATTTAATTATTTTTATGTTTATAGAAATTATCATTATTTAGATAAACATTGCTATTATATATTAATTGAATTAAAGTTTTTATTTGTACTAATAATACTAATTTTCCGAAAATAATTACTGAATATTATAAAATTAAAATTATTTTTTATTGTAAATATTTCTTTAATCTATTAATATATAAACAATTTCTTCAATGAAGACTAGTTTAGAAAATGACTGTAAATTTCAGACTATAAATACTATCAAACCGTCTGACTGTCTCTAAATTATTATTATCACAATATTTTTGACGCTTTTATTAATTAAAGTTAAATATAAATAAAAAAATATCAATATATAAGTTTTAAAAAATGATAATATTAAATTTTATTGATATTAGATAACTTTGCCAATAAAATACTTTATATGGTATTATATTATAAAATCATATAAATTTAATGGAGTTTTTTAACACATATTTAAAAATATATATACTGTAAATATTCAATTTTATTAAGTAGTTTTTTGCTTTAAATSAATGTTAAAAATAGTTATAAAATAAAAAACTTAGATCCGAAAATAATATATTAGATGATTATTTGTGAAAAATAAATCTTAATGTATACAATAGTATTTGATTTAGTATCTAATGGYAATAATAATAATTATAATAAATGGCTAATTAAAATTAATATAATGATAATACTTCATTAGTTACTTTATAATTGTTTTATATTTTATAATTGTTTTATATAATCTAATATTAATAAATTAGTGAATGCCATGAAATRGTTAACTAAATGAAAACATTAAAAATAAACTCATTTTGAATGAGTTTTTCAATATTTATAACAAACAGTGTTATATAAAAAGTCAACAAAAATCTCGTAAGGCATGAGAAAATCGGTTGTAATAAATAAATCATTTCATTCTCAGCTTTCCCTGACTGAGCCATAAGCCTCCCGTCACCGGCAAAAGGAAAGACATGTCAAAGTGATAGACACTTAATGTTCATTAGAAAAGAGAGAAAGATATTGAAGTTATAGAAAACTATTTAAGATTTTTATAGTGTTTTATGCGTAAAAGTATTGCTTAATAAACACTATTTATTTTTATATTACGTTACGGACAGTCGAGTCCACTGTATCTCAAAGTTTTCTCTATTATTTCTGTTTCTCATAATATTAAATGAGAGGAACCGTATGTTGTTTTGTTGAACGGATAGATGAGACGCATATGCTGTAAATCAGATAATGTTTATTATTGTTATGATTGCTATTAGTACTGTGTATTAGTTTTTGTTAACAGAATTAGTAGTTTTATACATAACTAAACATATACTATATATATATATATTCTATAAGATATAAGTAAAGTAATACTTAAACATTAAGAGTAATATTTTTTCGAGTGAGGGAACGGTAGATAAGTCTAACCATATAGTTATATATATTAGCCGATAATGACTTTTACTTTTTTTTCTTATTGCATATTATGTCTGTGCTCTCAATATTTTTTTCTGTGGCGGCCTWTAACTCACAAAAACTAACTATTAATGTTATTTTGCAATGCATTTCACATTATCTATTATTGTATACATTAATATGGTTTTATATGTTATATATAATTGAGACTTTAAATGTTATTTAAACATATAGAAAGATTATATACATTTATTGAATAAACTAGCATGGACACTTTTATATAAACAAAACTGTAACAAAAGCTTATAATTTATGTATGTTTATTATATAATGTAGATTATAAGTTATAATTTATAACATTATCTAAATTTAAATTAAAACAAAAAACTATTGAATATCATTGTTAAGACCTAGATTTTTATATAATATTTTATACGATTTTAGTGTTAATTTCCGTTTAGGGAATTGATTTTTACATAAATTTTTATAATATTGATATATAAATTTAGTTTATATTCTGAATGACTACAGTATAACAATCTCTATCCTAATATTAGTTATATACTATTTATACAGTGATGTGATGTAAAATATTTTTCAGTTCATTAGCTTTTATCACATTTTGTTATCACATTTTGCGCACAAAATACACAAACAAAATCACTCAATAGAGTCTTCCCTTGAATTTTTCATTTGATTTTAACGCATTAATAGTCTCTCTCTCTCTCTCTCTCTTCTTACTCTCTCAAGTTTCCCTCATTTTATTAAATTTATATTGAATTTTATATTTATAAACACTTTTTTATGTTACCATTAGCTTAGATCTCCAGAGAGACAATTAAACTATTTTTTATAACATTGAATACTTACTTTTGTATATTTAGAGATCGTTTATATACAATAAGCACATAGACTTTATATCACACTATAATCTATAAAAATGTAATCTAAGGAACAATTATTATTATTATTATTTTTTATCTAATACAACACTAAAATTATTTTTCAATAATAACCCGAAATTGTTTTTTATTCAAAATCCTGTTCACTCTTTTAGTTAACAAAATAAGTTATTTTAATAAAATAGGTTTATAAAATATTGTATAATATTATATATTAGATATTTTAGCTAAAGTATAGATCTAATCTATTGTCTAAATGTTAAGTATTTTTATATTATAGTTATAAGTATACTTTATTATTATATTAATTTTATTTTTGTTTGTTTTATAAATATATTTACTTTTAATTCAATACAATACTGGTTGCAGTGAACTATTGATATATTTTTATATAATAATAGATAAATTTTATTTTTTATCTGATAATAGATACCTATTGTATTTTAAAATAAAATGTATTATACTGTATATCTTATATATTTTAAACTATATAAATAATTTTATAACTATAAGTTAATTACAATTGTGTGGTTTTACCCCACATATCAAATCTACCAGTGCTTTGTTGTCACTACAGTATATCTTACCGTTTCTAGATATCTATTCATCTAATAATCTAATAAATGTATATTATATTTATCAAAATATTTATTTTAAAATTTAAAAAGTTTATTAACTGTTAATATAATTAATTGTGTATTATACTAAATATTATAGTTAGTCATATTTTATGAAACAAATTATTGTTGTTATTATTATTATATTTTAAGTATTCAATTAGACAATATTTTTTATTCAATTTTTTTTAAATATTTAATATTTAACTTTATATTGAGGTCATATTTATAGTTTTATTTATAGTTTTTAATTTATCAAAAAAAAACTACAGTTTATTTTAAACTTTCATTAGTATATTTTATATTATATATCAATTGTGTATAAGTAAATAATTATTATTGTGCTATAAATGATTTATCACAAAATTTAATTTCATTTTTAATATTTACAACAATTAACTTATTTAAAATTCAGTTTAATAAAAATTATGATAACTAATAACATTGATTGATTTTATAACATACATGTTGTTAAGCAAAAAATAATGTAAATACAAATAAAATATTTGAAATAATGTATAAATTGTACGGCATATACAAGTATAAAATATCATACTTTTATTGTATGAACATATAAAATAAAAACAAAGTTTGCTGTAATTCTAAAAACTTATTATTTTTAAATATTTTGTTGTTTAACATGTCTTGAGTTTAAAAAGATATGATTTATATGATTATAACATTATAGATAATTGAAAATTAATTATACTTATAAATCAATTATCTGATGCATTGGTTAATAAAGTATATTAATATAATCTATATAGTTAAAAAAATTGAGAAATTTTTAACATTTTTTGTTATTTTTGTTTTAATTTGTTAAGTTT